GGGCATGACACTAAGGGCTCGGGGTGTTACAGTTTATAGTACAACCTTCATCCCGGTGGACTTTGCCAAGTGTAAAGTAGGTGAGAAATAAGAATAGTAAAAATTGTGTGGTTGAAATTTGAGCAGAGGAGAGAGAAATGTGCTGAATCACAAATTAGTTGCTTTAATAGGAAAGTGACAAAGTTTTTTGTGACAACAAAAAAAAGTAAAGTTGACAAAATCCAATGGGATGGAGAGAGTAGTAATTAATGTCAAGATGTTAACTAATTGTCATTTAGCAACACTCCCCAGCATTAATATAGAGATAAAATAAGAGAAGATTCAATATTCACGAAAAGAAGTAAGAAAACAACTCACAACTTTACCTGGGCCTAGGATCGGTTCGGTTCTTGTTAAAATTCGATGAAACCGTATTAAAAATTATAGGCGCTAAATTCGGTTCTGTTCTAGTTTAAAATGTACTTAGTTGTTAAATTCGGTTCGGTTCTAGTTAAATTCGGTTCGGTTCTTACATTTTTTCAGTTCCTAATAAAAATTTATTGTCCTCCTAAAATGAATACATTTTACCTTCAGTTACATAAAAATAATCAAATTTTAAATGATGAAATTTATGACCATTACATTATACACACATGATATTCTAATTTTCAAATATATCCAAGTGCAAATATTAAGTTTAAACATAACAACAACATAGATGTTTAAAATAGGCATCAACTATCAAGTAAAAAAGTTTAATAACTTCAAGGTACACATCTAATAGTAGGTGGTTCAACCTCAAAATAATATTCTTCTACTAGTAATGCATCATAAGTAAAAAGTCCATAATAATAAACTAACCAGTAATATTTGTAATTTATTATGAACAAGTAACAACATAATCAGCGTAATAATAATTTCTTATTGTGCACTCAAACAACAAATACAATCACAAACAAATGATAAATATAAAAATGGACTAAAGTAGTAAAATAACAACTACTCAAGTTGGCGTGGTTCACAATATATAAGGTATATTATGCAAGATAAATATTCCTGACAAGAATTTTCTGCCCGGAACGTCGTCTGGCCACCTCCATTTGAGGTGCTTCCGGGTAGAATTTTTTGATGATATTTTGTGAGCATGTTCTACATGAAGTGAAGTTTACCCCACCAAATTTCAGCTTAAAATGCAATCGAGAAGTGAGTTAAATAAAATGTTGAAAAACATTGTGTTTTTTATATGTATTTTGACGTAATGTTTTTCAATAATTTATTTAACTAACTTCCCGATTGAATTTTAAGATCAAATTTAGTGGACATAATCTAAATTTCATTGAAAACAAGCTCACAAAATTTCATTAAAAAAATCCACCTAGAAGCACCTCAAATAAAGATTACTCATGCAATGTATAGGAAGTTCGGTTCCTGTCTAGGAACCGGAACCAAACCGATAATATACTATAGGAACTGAACCGAAAAAAGATGAAGTCCAAAATTATAGGAACCGAACCGAATCAGAAAATTCGGTTCGATTCGGATTGGTTTTCCCGATTTTACGGTTCAAAGTCCCGGGCCTAACTTTAACTAATATTCTCACCATTAGTTTTGGGTGTTGCTTGGCGCACCACAATTATTACTTAATGTAATTCTAATAAGACTAATTTGTCCTTTGTTTAACTAAAATCAAACTAACTTCACGCTAATACGAGTTTGATCACCCATTCACGCCAATGGAGTATCGATTCCAATCAATTTTAAAATTTATGCTCCATCCAGTAGTTTTCACCCATGTGGCAAATAATTGTTATTTTTGTAAAACATTATAACCATTTCATGTGTGTTCCTATTTTAACAAAACATATGTTCCACTAAAAAAATCAACTCAAGTATTTTTTTATGATTTTTAATATGATACCAATATACATCTATAAAAAATTTTAAAATAAAATTATCCTGATAAGGAGAATTTAAGTCTGATAAATGGCTATTAAATTTGCATTTTAAAATTGTTCATGTCCAATTAGGTTCGATCTGATATGTTCTACTCTGATATGGTTTGGTTTGTTTACACCTAGGCTAACTTGAGATCGAAATTAGTGCAATTAGAAACGTTATAAATGTCATTTACAAATAGAAGACGGTTAGTTCACTAGTATTAAAAGTCCGTTGAGAAACACTGAAATCGGATGAATCGACTTATTCTGCTGAAATTTATGATATTCTGGTTGAAGTGGCTGATTCTGCAGATTTACAAAAAAATATATTTAAAATATACTTTATTAATAAAATAGATAAATAAATAAATGAGAAAAAAAGCTAAAATGATCATTTACAGTAATTTCAGCCAATACTAGACCTGTCAACGGGTCGGGTACGGGCCGGAACGTAGTATCCCAGGCCCGGACCCGTTAGCCTCTATAGGGTTCCAGACCCGACCCATATACCCGGCGGGTCTAGAACTAATGTTCCGGACCCATACCCATTGGGTCTCAGAACCAGGTCGGGTAGGCCCGACCCGTCTCACGAAAATCCAATTCTTATTTCTTAAATAAAAAACATGACCTCTTACTACCGAGTACTTTTTTGGCAATAATATGGTACATGAATTGTAATTTCTTGTCTGTAATTACTCAATCAAACGCAACAATTGCGAGGTTGTTTATAATTTGCAAGATACGTAGTGTTAGAATAAAGAGTAAAATTAATGGAGATACGTAGTGTTTATAATTTGCAAGATACTCAACCAAACAACCTTAATGAAGCTTACGAAGTTCTAGCCTTCCCGATTTAGCTCCGGTGAAACTCCGGCGAACTTCAACGAACTCCGGCGACAACTCTGGCGACCTTTTCAACTCCGTGAAAGTTCCTTGAATACCTTAGACAAGTTACTAACAAGGTTTTATCATCATAAAACCCATAGTAATACCAATAACCTCTAAAAGGTTATTTTCCGGCGAACCGGCCGTTTTGGCTTCTAAGTCCGTTTTTGGACTTAGAATCACTTTCCAACCCATTATTCCACACTTAAATAATGTAGAACAATACTAAAGGTCTTTCATATGATATATATCTTATATTCTAGAAGAAAAACAAAGGAAAAGTTATGATAAGGTCATTACCTTAATTTTCACACTTTTTCCTAGCTTTTTCCTTCTTTAACTTCCTCCCAACTTCCTTGTTTGAGCTCTGCTCGAGTTTTGCTATGAAAGATGAAGTTGTAGAGATTCTTTCCTCCTTTCCCTTGATGCTGTCCGAACTAGTGAGGAGGGGGATGGGTAGGAATGCCCCTTTGTCTCTATTTGGGCAATGAGTGAAAGAGAGGAGGGCCACCATGATTTGTTTTGATGCCAAACATCTCAAATCAGTCCTCTCCCACCTCACCTCACCTACCAGCCTACTCAAGCCTTGAATAATGTGGCTAAATTCGTGGGTTGGCCCCCACCCATGTGGGAGGTCAACCCTTTTTGTCCAGAAGTGTACAATCGGTCCCGAAAGTTGTATTTTCCGGACTGTTTTAAGTATATTTTATTTTAACGGGTCAAATAAAATATAACACTTGTTCCCAAATCTTTATTGGGCCTTAGAATCAATATGTGTTCCCCAACTTTAATTTAGAAGTCTCCGGAATCCCTTTTTGGACTGTTATCTGATAAATTGCCGATACCGATAATTGGCCCGTTTGACCAACCGGTCAACTCTATGCTATTGGCATGCCCAATTAGGATATCCACCACCATATACATATTATCTAGTCCAAGATTAACATAATATGTGATCCCGATAATATCGGGCGGCCCCACATCCGGTGTGGGCCCCACGTGAATTTTACTATTCACGTAATAGACATGATAAAAATTTACAATCACGTAAAAATGCTTTTATGCATTTCTCAAGGTTTAATGCATACTTTGGTACAATACAAATACTCGGGGGCGGTGTTACAAGTGGCCTGCAGTGGCTTGATTCCATTATTTTTTTTATTCTTTTTATTGTTAAAAATTGTAATAACTTTTTTATTTGATATCCGATTTTTATAAATTTTATATCAATTTTTTTTCATGATCTATCAAATGAGACCAATATTGCTTATGTAATTTTAACAAATTATGGAACTATTATATAAATGATTATTAGATTATAAGGAAAATCGAACTAAATTTAATACAGAAAAATAATCGTGTAAATCACAATTTATTTTAAAATTGTGTATATAAAAAAATTATTGTATTATGTATTTATACATGTGAGTTACATATTTTTATACGTAAAGTTACATATTTTTACACGTAAAGTTACATATTTATACACACGAGTTGCATTTGGCCTGCCTGAACGCGAGTTACATATTTTTACACGTAAAGTTACATATTTTTACACTTAAAGTTACATATTTATACACGCGAGTTACATATTTATACACACGGGTTGCATTTGACCTGTCTGAACGCGAGTTACATATTTTTTACGTAAAGTTACATATTTTTATACGTAAAATTACATATTTTTACACGTAGAATACATATTTATACACACGAGTTGCATTTAGCCTGACTGAACGTGAGTTACATATTTTAACACATAAAGTTACATATCTTTACACACAAATGTTAATATGTTTAAATTTCATAGGCAATATTGGTCTCATTTGAAAGATCATGAAAATAAAAAATTTTGATATAAATTTTATAAAAACCGGATCAAAAATACAAAAAATTATTAACAATTTTAGGAAAATTTGGAGAAATAAAAATTAAGAAAGGGTGCATGCTGCTATTTTAAAATTTAAAATTTATAAAATGAGACACGGGGAACTTAGCTTTTATTTTAAAATTTATAAAAGATACGGAGTACGTACCTAACGATCAAAGTAGGACAAATTTGTCCGTTCTTGAGGTAAAATAGGTGCGCCCCGCACTTTTCAAGGTGCGCGAAGATGCTTCTATTTTTTTTTTCATCTCCTACTTTTTACCTTTTCACTAATATTATTTTAATCTTTTTTAATTTCAAAACTAGTTTAGACCAAAAATTTTGTTCTCCTCTCAGCTATGGATTATTTCGAGGAGCGGCCGTCGTGAGGCGGAAGTTCGCTGTGAGTGGGAGTCAGCTTCTCCGAAGCCGTCGTTTTGACGAAGAGCGTAGGAGCGCAGCGTGGGGCTTGTGTTTTTCCAGCGGCGGTCTCAGTTCGTTCCAGCGAGAAAGGGATAGTGTTCGTTTTGAGCGTGGTGGCAAGGTTCCGATTGTTCCAGCAGTGGGGAGTTTTCAATGGAAAACATGGTCAATCATTACAAGAATATGGCAATTGGTGGGATTCTTAGGCGTTGATCTTGGATGATGACGAGTTTGGAGAACCTGCAATGGAGGGTAGGCGGCTGAGCTTCCCGATTATTGGTACACTTTTGACTGACAGAAGGATTAAGTTCCAGATATTCAAGGAACTCAGGTCTTCTTTGCGGAGACCAGGAAAAGGTGTGTAGATCAAAAAAATTGGCGACAAAAGGTATATGTTTAATTTCTATCATAATGTGGATATGAAACATGTTTTAGATGGTTGTCCGTTGTTGTTTGAAAGAAATTCGTTGATTCTAAAGGAGGTCAAGCCAAATGATATTCCGCTCAAAATTAATCTCAATGAGGCAGAATTCTGGAACATGTTCATCATGTTCCTTATAGTCTTATGAATTTAGGCACAACTAGGAGGATTGGTAATCTTATTGGTAAATTTATTAGCTATGATGAAAACCAATTTCACGAAAAGTGGGAAGCATATTTGCGTGGTAGGGTCTGTATGGATGTGGGTAAACCTCTGAAAAAGGAACACCTCTTAAGAAAGGAGAAATTGGTCACCGGTCACTGGGTAGATTTTAAATATGAAAAGTTACCCAATTTTTTCCTTATTTGTGGAATTATTGTTCATTCTGATAAGTTCTGCCCATTGACATATGAGGACAACTTGACACCGGAAAAATATTATGGGGTGAATCTTAGAGTTGGTGGAGGGGGGAAGACTAGTCCTACAGGGGGAATAAGTGGTTAGTGGAAGGCTCTTCTAGCTCAGCGTTGGGGAATTCAAGATGATATTCAGACGAGGGTTGGAGCAGGAGGACAGGGTTGAAGGGAGTCCACGACGGGTACAGGCAATAGCACGACCAAAGAAGGGGATTTGGGGAGCATTGAAGAAATGTCAGGGGAACAAAAACGTAGGAGAATTTAGGAAGCTCGGGAACAAGAGGATCCAGTTGGTGATAACATGGCTCTGGACAAGCCAAAAAATGAGGAGGAGGTGGGCTCCGATCTTTAGGCCCACCGAAGCATCAAAAGCAGTTAGAATGGTCGGGTACGTGGACGGCTAGTAATGTTTGTAAATGAGTGAATCACTTATAATGTAAAAGGAGCATAATGTGTAAATGAGCTAGTGTAAAAGGAGGTAGTGTAAATGAATTATGATTAAGTGGAAATGAAATTATTGAGCATAATGTGATAGAAAAGCTTGATTATGAAGCTATAGTTGATAATCGGCTTTGCTTCACAATGATCGGCAAGGAATGTATTTAAGTATTTTTTTTTGTTTTATCGTGATTTGTCTATATTTAATTCAATGAATTCAAGTGTTTTCTTTATTATAAAGGTCTTCGAAATTATTATTTTGCATGTTAGTTTAGATGTAATGGGTTTTACATTTTTACCGACGGTCAGATCACGGGTTTCCCTTGATTCGCCAATGATGGAGGTAGTTTTTCCTTGCTAGCGGCGCTCAATGTTCTCTTTTAATTTTCCTCAAGTTTGCCTTGGGCGAATGGAGTGGTATGCTCTTGTAGTTAGGGATGGATTCGGTTCGGGCCACCTGGCCCGTGACCCGGCCCGGCCCGGTACTGTGCGGGCCCGGGACCGGCCCGGTCGGGCGGTCCGGGACCGGGTCTGGGCCCGAACCGGAGGGAAGGGGCGGGGCGGGCTCGGTTCAGCATTTTTGTGACCCGGCCCGGGTCCGGTTCGATCAATTTTTTAAAAAAAAAAAAGTTTTTTTGGGTTGGGCTCCTACTAGCCGTTGGGGGTGGGGCTGGGGACAACCCAAACGGCTATATAGCCGTTGGGTGGGTTATAGGGGGGGTCCGGGGGGGTTGGGTGGGGGGTAAAAAAACCTATAAATACTCCTAATCTTAAACATTTTTTCATATCTCTTCTCCAATTCTTCCTAAATCCTATTCTTAACTCTCTACTCTCTAATTCTCTTATTCTCCATTCTCCAATATATTATATTTATTATTTATAGTTTATATTAATTATCTACTTATATAAATTATAAATAGATATAAATAGTATTATATTACTTATATTTGTTATCTAATTATATATTACTTATATATTTATTATATCTATTAATATAGTTGGAATTATATCTAATTAATTTGAAGTCATTCTATTACTCCCATCCGAAAGACCGAAAGTCCGAAAGAGGTACGAAATTATTCTATTATTTACACTTGTTTAATTACTAGTTAATTAGTATAGTTGGAATTACGATTTTTTATTAATATAGTTGGAATTACAATTTTTTTATTAAAAAATATGTTGTACACAAAACTAGTTAATTCACTACTTAATTTGCTATAACTCGAATTAATAGTTAGATAAATAGTTAATTAGTTTTTTACAATTTTTTATTAATTGCTACATTTGACTCTAGTTTATAAAATATGTTGTACACAAAACTAGTTAATTCATTAATTATGATTATTATCTAAATGTGAAAATTTATTACTAGCCTGGTTCAATTATGCTATCAAATGGGGAGGACTTGATTTGCATAACGAATTTCAGGATTATTACCATAATATCATATTATGCACACCTAATCACTTTAATAACCACCTAATCACTAAACTAAACTCCAAGACCTTCCATTACTACTACACTTAATTTCAGTGGCTTTTGAAGGGTAGCGAACAGAATAATATTCTCCGTCGTTACATCCACTTGTATAATAAAGCAAGTATCACCTCATTACATTTTCTTTTACACTAAGGTGATGTTCTCTTCAGGTATTTTGTTTTCTCTTACTCTAGGATGTTTTCTTTTGGACTGAAATTTGCTGGTCCGGTCTGATCTGATCTGGTGTGTTTAAGCCTGCTTTGGTTTGAACTGGTCCGTTCTGGTAAATGCCTGGTCTCTGTGTATTTCATAACTGTTCACGTCTAGTCTGGTCTGGTCTGATCTATTTAAGTCAGGCCTGGTCTGATCTGTTTAAGTCTTTTTTGGTCTGGTCTGAGACTGAAAACAGTCCAAAAGAAAACATCCTTAATCTTATCTCCATCCTGCTACCAGCATTTCTCCTTTTCTCCATTTCAAGAGCCTATATTTACTTTAACATGTGGGTGCTTAGGTTTAACCCGGGTCTCTACCCTGCAATCAGTGATGGAATATGGTTTATAATTTACTAGGAGCAGACCTGCCTCGTTGAATTTTTTATTCTTTCTGGCTTGTTTAGTAACCTTCATTCTTATACACCATACACACATATAGCCATGGATTATCTTGGGAAGCTTTTGCATTTCAGCTACCCCGTCCCCCCACATCATAGCACTATACTGCTTCAAGATATTCCAAATTATCACACCAGGCAGAATGGCCATGTAAATCCCATTTCAGGTTTTACTTTCAGCATTTACCCACTAGGAAATCAGATTTTGTTTGAGAGTAGTATGTAAGCACCATCTATCATGCAATATCAATCTAAAGTATTGCCATTTAGAAAAGCTTAAAACTTTAGCATGCGTCTCTCTAGATTATTGGGCCCTTGGAGCACTTCATTAATAAACACGTAGGTTTTGATGCTTCAGACTTTATTGTTCATAACAGAAGAATGGATACTTTTGACAAACTATAAAATCAATCCAATATGAAAATCTCTGGTAAGTTTAATATAAACAACAGGTCTTAGTGCAAACCAATCTCGTATTAAGCTCATTCATACTGCACCACGTAGTAAGCATATCAATAGTTACTGAAATTTGTACCAAAACAATAAAGTCTGTATATGCTTGGTTTTACCCCGGACCCCACCCCCCACCCTTGAAGAAAAAACAAGACTGTCTGAGTTTTTCATTTATTACGCAAGCTAATGTAGTAAACTTGCTGAGCTTGCTCAGCTGGGAGATAAACTAAGGTGATGCGAAACATCCTTAACTGATTGAGAAACATTATTTACTACTCCAGAAAAGACAGATGTTGACATTATATTGCTCATCAATTTCATATGACTGTATTAGGATGTTTTTTTCTAGTGATGTAAGGGTTGTGCGAATAAAGGAATGACTTACCCAATTGGGAGACTTAGATGTCATATATAATAAAGAGTGTCCTCAATACAATAGGAAACATAATAAATATGGAAACTTAATTAATGTGTATTAATTACTCTATTACATCCCCTCAAGCTGTGCAGGGGAAACAATGCGCAGATTGTCTCTAAGAAAAATAAAACGCTGTGGAGACAAACTTTTGGTAAAAATATCTGCAAGCTGGAATTGTGTAGGAACATAACGAACAACCAGATCTCCATGTGAGACTCTCTCATGAACAAAGTGATAATCAATGCTGATGAGTTTGCTCTGAGCATGCTGAATAGGATTTGTGGATAAGTAAGAGGCAGAAATATTATCACACAATAACCGAACAGGCTGACAAATCGACACCCCTAATTCGAACAATATAGAACGTATGTGGAGAGTGTCCTGAACTGTGTAAGCAATTGCCCTGTACTCTACTTCCGTGGAAGAGCGGGAGACAGTTGGCTACTTCTTGGATTTCCACGAGATCCAATTAGGACCCAGAAAAATAGCAAAGCCTAAAGTGGACCGACTCTATCAGGACAGGCAGCCCAATCAGCATCAGAATACGCCTGTAAAATAGGCGAAGAAGTGCTTGGATGTAGGAGCATACCATGATCTGGTGCTCCCTTAAGATACCTGAAAATACGCTTAACAACAAAAAAATGTGAAGTGTGAGGTGCATGCATAAATTGAGAAACCAAGTGAACAGCAAATGTAATATCTGGTCGAGTCATGGTCAAATATTGTAAAGCACCTACCATACTCTGTAGGATTTGCGAGGAGATCACCATCAGTGAGAGATAGCTTAGTTCGAGTAGGTAACGGAGTACGAACAGGTTTAAGAGTGTGAAGATGAAACCTGGTTAATAGATCAGACACATATTTTTGTTGAGACAGAAACAAACATGAGGACGTTCGAACAACTTGGACACCTAGGAAAAATGTAAATCCCCCAAATCCTTCATGGCAAAACAGCGGCCAAGACAAGTGATACATATGGATATAAAGGAAGGGGAATTACCAGTTATAATAATGTCATCCACATACAACAGAAGATAAAGAACATGAGACCCATGACGATAAATGAATAAAGAATTATCTGACTTCCTACAAATAAAACCATGAGTCAACAAAAAGTTACTAAAGCGATAAAACCAGGCGCGCGGAGCCTGTTTCAGACCATAGATAGCCTTCATGAGCCGACAAATATGATTAGGGAATTGTGGATGTATAAACCTAGGAGGCTGACGCATATAAACCTCTTCAGTTAGATTGCCATGAAGAAATGCATTTTTGACTTCTAACTGACGAATAGTCCACCGACACGAAATAGCAAGAGATAAAACAATACGAACAGTGGTGGGTTTGACAACAGGACTAAAAGTCTCAGAAAAGTCCACACCAGCCTGCTGAGTAAATCCCTGTGCAACTAAACATGCTTTATAACGCTCAACAGACCCATCATATTTAAATTTTGTTTTATAAATCCATTTAGACCCGATCACATTTTTACCAGCATTAAATGGAACTAAATCCCATGTATGATTATCAATTAAAGCATTAGACTCTTCTTCCATAGCCGCCCTCCACTTAGCATTTTTATTTGCCATAGAAAAACAAGAAGGATCACATGTCGAAACATCTGTTTTCAGAGTAAAAATACTTTTGGGTTTGAAAATTCCAGATTTAGCACGAGTTTGCATTGGATGACAATTTTGAGAAGGTGCAGGTGGGGTTGGGCTAACAGTAGGTGAGCTGGTCGAATGGGTGGAGTGTGATGATGATGGTGAGGAGATAGGTGTGATGGACAGGTTTGGGCTATTTGCTGCCGCAGGGGTGATGGAGACGGTGGTTTGATTTGTCGATTAGGGGATGACGGAAGCAGTGGGCTGACGGGGAGTAAGCTGGGAGCATTCCGTGGACTGCCGCAGTATGGTGGTGTCGAGCAAAAGGTCGGCTGCCGGTGGGGTGTGGACATGGTGCTCATGCAGTGTTACAGTATTAATGCTGGACAAGTCCTTGGGAGATGTGGAAGAAATTAATGTAGAATATGGAAAATAATTTTCAAAAAATCGCACATTCTGGTTGATGTAAATCTTGTTAGTAAGAGGATTGAGACAACGATAACCTTTATGTTTAGGGGCATATCCTAAAAAGACACATAAAATGGATCTGGGAGAAAGCTTGTTGGCAGAAGTGGTATTAAAATTGGGAAAACAAGCACATCCAAATACACGCATGAAAGAGAAGTCGGGAGTGTGGTGGAATAATTTTTCAAAAGGAGAAATGCCATTTAAATTTGGAGTAGGAAGCCGGTTAATAATAAATGTGGCAGTAAACACAGCATCTACGTACCCAAAATTTAGCTGGCATGTTTGCTTCAAAAAACATAGTGCGAGTTAATTCAAGGAGATGTCTGTGTTTGCGTTCAGTGACATCATTCTGCCAAGGGGTATCCGGGCATGATTTGCGAAATAAAATGCCATTTTTGGCAAAAATATCACGCATTCCATGATTATCAAATTTACCCCCTCCATCACTCTGAAAAATTTTAATTTTGGAGTCAAGCAAGTTTTCCACCGTCAATTAAAGTGCTGAAAATGTGTTATGACTTCACTTTTATGGCGCATGGGATAGAGCCAAGTAAATCGAGAAAAATCATCAATAAATAAGAAAGAATATTTAAAGCCACTTGTTGAAAGAACAGGAGATTGCCAAACATCCGAATGAATTAAATATAAAGGAGCAGTAGATTTATGCCACACTTTTTGAACAGGTAATCATTGTGACTTTTCTAATCGACAAGATATACAATCATGGGAAAAACTAGAAGTACTAGAAATAGTGTCAGATTTTTTTAATTTATCTAAAATACTTCTTCCACAGTGTTCCAAGCGACGATGCTAGATCGGGCCGAGAGCAACATGAGAGATGAGAGCAACTGGTGAGGGATGTGTGAAGGAAATAGGATAAACACCGCCATTACTGGAAGCTTGGAGGAGCACCTTCCCCGAAATTGTGTCCTTAATACAGATAGAATTTTTATCAAAAATCGCCAAAGGTGTTGAAAAACACCTATAAATAGCACACTTTTCCTTCACTAATTTTCATCCATTCTTCCATACTCCTAAACTCAGTTTTAGAATAGCATTTCTTTATATTTTTCTAGCTATGTTTAGTCTCCAAATGATGAGCTAAACTTCCATTCTTGGTTTTGCTCTTGAAGCTTGTTGATTATTAAAGTTGTGAGTTATTTTCTTAACTTCTTCTCTTGATTATTAATTCATCCCTTAATCTCATTCTATATTAATGTTGGAGGGTTGCTAAGTGACGATTAGTTAACGTTCCGACATTAATTACTACTAGAAACGATCAACGAACCGATGGTTAATCGTTGGTGGTTTCACAAGTAAGTAACTTCGGTTTATTAATGCACGGTCGTGGTTAATAGATTTAAGAGGGATCAATTTTGTTGGTTAAACCGAAACCGTTGTGTTGAGATTATCAATCTCAATTGATTTCATCAAGGAGTTAAAAAGATTGAATGCTACTATTATATCGGTATACAGTGTTGTTCTATATTTGATTAATAGTAAGGGTTATTAATGAACGGTCGTTGTTAATAACTACCCTCGATGAATTGAAGATACTCCTCGATTGAGTATTCGAGAGGGGATAAGTTATAGATATAACAAGGATCGACTAAAATATATCAACAAGTGGAAAGTAGCAAAGTCAAGTCCCTTTTATTCTTGAATTAAATCTCATATAAGTCGTTCATCTTAGTTTTTAATTTAATTAAATCATTCATCACTAAACCCCCCCTTTAATTACTAAGTTTAATAAAAAGAGAATTATTAATTTCCCTGCGGATACGAACTCTACTTCACCTATACTATGTATACGTGTTAGTATCGAATTATTTGGACGCACCGTGACAAAGTGCTCGTCAGATAGATCTGACACACAACAGGTGGAGGAACTGAACCAAAACTATTCTCAAAAGACGGAGATCCTGCAGAAGCATAATTAGTACAAAAAGTAGAGAGAGCCGGAGTATAAAACGATCCCCACTGATTCGGCTGATTGGCCCCCCAGCCGGATTGTGACTACTGGAACTGCGGCTGGCCGTGGCTGCCATAAAAGGAAGGCGTGGCATACATTTGTGCCTGCTGATTTCTCCCTCTGCCGCGCCCTCGACTGCGGCTGCCACGCCTTCCACCACGCCCACCGCGAGTTGCCTGCTGCTGCTAGTTGCCAGACGAAGGAGAAAGAGCCACCCCCCCCCCCCCCCCCCCTGTCGAATTAGTTGCAGAAAAACGCCGGTGTAGGAATGGTGTCGTCCAAGGATTGTTGGTAGCGTAGACGGGCATCTTCAATAGCCATCAATAGCCATCTTCAATAGCCATCAATTTTGGGGCCTCCATTATTTGTGTAACGGAGGCCCCAAAGGTCATGCCTTGAGCAAGTGAGGCAAAGGACGTGGGCATAGGAGTGGACTGTTGACAAATAATTCAAACCGAAGGCATGTGTAAACGAGGAAAGCCGAACAAGGTGGGCCCTGCGAACCGAGGACCGCCGGAGTTACTGGGTGCTTCTTGGGTCACGTCCAGAATCTGCGAAGGTTGTGGCTGGATCAGCGGGCTGAAGGTCGGTGCTGACGGGGTCCAAGTAAAAATAGGGGGAACCCACGACGCTGCCACAATGGTAGAAGAATATGCTGAATAGGAGTGCGATCAAAGCGGTTCATCCATGGGGGGGAGAAGGCCGCTGTCTCAGAGGCCGAGGAGACGTGTGGCGTGTCGGTCGCGCTCAGCAAAGGCGCAGTCACAGCTGTGACGGCGGCTGCGGTGACTGCTTGCGATGCGGCGGCGGTGGCGGAGCCTGAGGATGCCATAGGGCCGAAAAAAATTTAATTTTGGCTAAAACCTAGAGCTCTTGATACCATGTGCGAATAATGGAATGACTTATCCAAGTGGGAGCCCTATATGTCATATATATAATAAAGAGTGTCCTGAATACAATAGAAAACATAATAAATATGGAAACCTAATTAATGGGTATTAATTGCTATACTAAGGGCTGACCTTGGCCTTATTTAGGTGCTACTAGTCATTAGAGAAAACTATAAACCAGTCAGTACCCTAAATGTATATCTCCAAAATTAGGAAAAACGTATGTGAGGACAAATTCAAATCCGAGTTTATTAAATAAGACAAGCCTTCATAAGCATTTTAGAGCATCTCCAATGATACAGTGTGCACGGTGCACATGTGACATGAGAGAGATAGAAACAAAAGATTAAATTTATCGCATTTCTCTCTCCTTCTGTCCATGACCTTATGTGTTTTTGGTAAGTTTTTATCAACAATGTCGACCACAATATCTACATATAGACATTGTGCTTGACATTGTAGAGAAAAACTTACCAAAAACATATAAGATGTTCAAATAAGGGGAGAGATATTCTATTTGTTGTTTTTTAATTGGTTATCTCTAATGTCGCGTATGCACCGTTCGTGTTTTGCATTGGAGATGCTCTTATAACAACAAGTCATCTCTGCCTACTAGACATGGCCGGTTCTGGGGGGGGGGGGGGGGGCAAGAAGACAAAATAGACCCAAAATTTTATATATATATAGTGCGAGTAGGCCCAGAATTATAGTTCAATTAACTAGGCCTAATGATTAATTTTGTTAACAATTTGAAAATTTAAAACATAAATAAAGAGTCTTAAATAGAGCCAAGTTTAAAACATAACATATACGTTAATTTTTAGCAGGATCGGTTGTAGTTTTTAAAAGCAATACAATTGTTACTGCATAAATAAAAGACACGTCTCTCCAGTCCTCACATCTTTTTAGCTTCTAAGGTTTTTTATTCAGTTTAATTATATCATAACAAATTTATATAATTATTTTAGAGCTCGTTTCTCTTATATTTCACCCCAATTATTCATTTGTTTCCAAATTTAAATAAGCTATATTTGAGTTTCAAATAGTAGTTTTAGAGGACGTCAAATTTGCAATCTTCTAGCGCGGGATTCTCTTGGCAGCCGAACATTTTGTCTCTTTGAAAACCTTCATTCTTTCGATACTTCAAACTTTAGACTCTCATCAGTTGTCAATAAATCATTCTCAACTTATGAATTCAATATGTGGTAATATTTATTTTCATTTATCCTTTCAGAAGAAATTTTATTGTTGTTATATGTGGCAAGTTTATTGTTTGTCATATTTATTAGTGGAAAGAAGATTGTCTATGAAGCAATTATTAATGATTTGCTTCACATTGGTCTACGAGAAACATTTTTAAGTAATGTTTTTAAGTAATGTTTTTAAGTAGTCTTATTTTGGAATTTCAAACTTCATTTACTCCTATTTTGAGAAATCTCCCTTTCCCAGTTTATCAAGCAAATGTGTATACAAAAAGATAGAGGGAAAGATATGAATAATTATTACATGAGATATTACCCAAAATAGGACTAAAACAGTTTGAAAATTCTAAAATAGGACTGACATGTTTTTATTCCCAAAATATGACTAATTACTACCATGTTTTGACAGTATTAGACTTCAAGCATGATAGTATTTTCTAATCATGACAGTAATTAGTCTTATTTTGGAAATAAAAAATATGAAAGTCCTATTTTTAAAAACCGTTTTAGGTACTCGGTATTCTAGAACTTCCTCCACTCTCAAAAAGGGGCGCTCAAGATGACGAGATAGTACGACGTCGTTTGAGATATCTAGGAAGAAAACTGGGTATCGGCTTCATGCTGCTTTTGTCCGGTCCTCTTCGCCTACAGCTACGTTCTTCATCGCTGAACCGCCGCCCATTTTATGCTAGCTGCGTCTCCGTCAGCGCTTGCAACACAAATCTCCACCGGACCCTGGATTTGCCGTCAAAGTTCAAATCGTTAGAAATTGAATTATGATGTATGTTTAAATTTCCATGCCTTATTGTCAAGCAAAACAACAGAGGCACCACACAACGACCCTTTTGTTTTTGCTGGAGAGTCAGAGTTTAGATTAGACTCGCGGCCAATGAATAGATTAGATCCTGCTCCATACACCGCTGCTTTGCCATCGCCGCATCCTCCTCTGCCGCCTTTCCCTCCGCCTTCCAGAGCTTTCTGGGAACCCGCAAATGTGATCGATCGCCTCAAAGAACTACACGAGACTATCAAACTCGCCCAAGCTCTGTAAGCAGTGTTCAATATTCAAATCTGTCACCAAACCCTATTCTACTCTGGTTGTCATCACTATTTTTTTCTAACCACCCCTTTTCAATAGGGAAAAAGAGCTAGAGGTGATTGTTAGGGCGAAAGCTATAAAAGGAGATTCCGAGGGTTTGGAGAATTTGTCCACATCCGATGAGGAGTTTTTCAAGTTGCTATATATTAATAAAATAGATTTCAAGTGCCAAGAATTGCTCTCATTGGAAGCTGCAAATGCATTGATATCAAAGTTGAAAACTCAGCTTGAGCCATTTCGGGTTGTTGCTGATGATAGGAGTCCATGGGAAGAAAAATCCAGGGCTATCAGATTATGTGACCAACTGCAAAAGTACAAACGCAACAAACTTTGGAGGAAAAAGAAGAGGAAACGTGTTGCAGAGAAATTAGCTATGGTTATAAAACTGGAACATTTCATATACCTTGTTTTGTTATCTACTTATTTCACAAAAAATGGTTGCATTTTTTTACTCTCAATTTGTAGGAGAAAGAGAAATTTGAGCAATTGGATAGAGAAGCTGATGAGTGGATGGCTAGGGAAATAGCAAAGGATGTTGCTAAGCAAAAGGTATGGTCGTATGTACGCAATGTAAATTTGCAGTCTCAATTGGCTATACTCAATTAACTAAAGTATATGCTTGACAATTTTTTTTGTTTTCAATTCAAATCCATAAGCCCCATTCTATTAACATGTTGTGACTGCTCTTATGCATGTTCTTTTCGAATTACTTGTATGGTTAATTGGTTATTCTCTCAAGACTTGTGCAACTATATGTTAATAAAACGATCACCAAAGGTATAAACTGACTTAATGTGACATAAAAATGCGCTCCTGTCATGGGCTTAATTTGTTAACCTATGTATTTCATATTATCTCCAAAGATGACTGTTTGGTTTGCTAGACATGGACAGTCCAATATTATGATGCCTTCTTTTGAACAGGTTGCGAAGATGAAGGAGATAGCAAAGCTGAAAGAGAAAGAGGAGAGGAAAACGTTAGGATCTGAGGTAAGCTTGGCCGACATGTAATAGACAGACACAACAACTAATCATTATCTTTCTTAGAATAACTGAATATCAATTATTCCTGAATCTGTATTTTGCTTCCCTCATAGCCAATTTCATTTATTCTAGCCCCTCACCTAAATCGTGTAAATTCTGCCCCTTAGGAACATCATGAAGATAGGGTGTGAAGGATTGAATTGAGAACAATTTCAAATAACTGAGGGGACTGCATTATATGAAATTGACAAGAATGTTACAGAACCAATAACAACAAATGAGGTGTCAAAATACAATTTTCCTTTATTCTGGAGCTGTTTCTTGTGCAGAAATTTTCTTTATTGATTAACTAACTTGCGTTGTGAGAGATAAAAGTTGACTGTAATGGTAAAGCAAGTAACATACATGGAAATTTGTGATTTCAGCTTGAGCTGGCATTGATGGTGGAGAAGTTGCAGGAATTAAGGTCCATCAGGATTCAGAAGTTGAAAAAACAAGGTACTTCTCTGGGATCTAACTACATGCAAAGCATGTTTTTTATTAGTCTAGGATGTAAGACAATTCTTTTCTTTTTGGTCCTACTACTTTCAGTTCATCTCCATTCTGATCTTCCTACTAAGTCCTTCCCAGCCACTAATCTGGCCAGATTCCAGGAATAGTGGCTACCATCTTGATATGGTGTTGCACCCATTAACAACCTTGATGTTTAAACATTGAACCCTATGAATTCATGAGGCTCATATGATACTTCATAGTAGGGTTTTTGTTGGGCAGAAAGTCCAAAAATGCCAACAAAACTGTAACCATGCACCATAAGTGGCAAAATGAAAATATTGGACAAAAGTAGGGGACTAGGGGTCACCTTGATAGTTGTGAGATCAAAGGTGAAAAATTTCTAGAAATTTTATTTTATCATCAATGCTCAAATGGAATGGTATATTTGGCATCCCTAAAAAATGACAAACTTATTTGGCATTATTATCACTTTGGTTGCTCAGCATGAAGACTTATATGGAAGTTATTTTTCCATGCCAGGACGGTTTCTTCCGGATGAGGACGACCAGTTTCTTGAGAGAGTGAAAGCTGCAGTTGAGGAAGAGGAGCGGCTAGCAATGGCTGCAGCAGGGACAGCGGCTGCAAAGGATGCCATAGCAACTGCAGAGGAGTCCAGCAGAAAGTTGGAAATGGGCCGCCGCAATAATAATAATGAGAAGAACATCAAGGACGACAAGAACAGCCAAGAGGCGGCAGCAGCAGTGATGACTGAACCCGAAGACAATAAACCAATGGAACACCACCGATGTGGAAGAAGTAGTGCTGCTGCTGCTACTTATGTCTGCTCGCTTAATTTGCCAATGGAGTATTATCACTACTACTATGGGAGTAACCATGATATAGGTACCCTTGTGGAGGTTCGAAGAAGATGGGATGCTTACTTAAGGTCTGGTGGAAGTCGCATTCCCAGTCACTGGGTTCAACCCCCACCACCTGCTGACCAGATATGGGCTTCCTGCTTGCTCAAACCTTGATCAACTCTACCTGAGAAGTCTCCTCTGGGAGAACTCGTCTCTAACATTATTGTATTGTTATTATTAGTATTAATGTTATTATTATTGTTGTTGTTCTATGTTTGCCCTGTATTATTGTTGTTTTGTCCTGATAGTCTTTTCATTTCTTTAACATTTTTGTTTTAGTGTGCAGTCTATTGGAGTATTCATTGTAAACTTTTTTCTTTTATTGCTAGATTGTAGGCAATAATGCAAAAACTTTAGATTGGATTTACTCCGTATAAATTAGAAAACTTTAGATAGGATTTACTCCGTATAAATTGGAAAAAACAGTTAAGATTGGTTCTCTATTATTATGCAAAATGCAATCAGCAATTAATCTCCTAAATCAAAATCTGCTTCAAATCCTTCAATTAACTAAACAACTCGATTATTAAAAAACAAAGACTTGATGGGTTAGGTAACTCTGGATAGAGAAAAGCTAAAGAGGAATTGGAGCAATTTTAGAGTGAAATTGTTGTGTATTAAATTTAGTAGAATAGCAATACAAACATTAGTTTTTTTTTTTTGGAAAAAGCAATACATACATTAGTTGTATTCCTCCTTTTCTCATTTAGGAATGTGCTATTTATAGGTAAAAAAAATAAGGCTTGGGCTATAAGCTCAGAATGCTAGTCAATAAGTGAGTGACACGTGACCCTTGAAAGTCTTGAGGATACATTGATGAGGTCAGCAATAAGGGGTTGATGAAACCTAAAAGTGAATCAATAAAATCAAAACCGCAAGCAAAAGAAATCTGTTAAGGTTTAATCCTCACGATTCAAGCCTCTAAGAACCCAATAATTCCTAAAAGTGAATCAATAGTTTTTGTATGAAGGCAAAAACTATAGCAAGAACATTTGATGGACTTAGAACAGTATCAGAGCACCCTTATCAAGCCCGAGCCCCGACCCTCTATTCTACATCGGAAGAACACAGAAGACTAAAGGGAGAAGTTAAGCTATTGAATACAAGTTCTCAACTACATCGGAAAGTTTCCGCCATAAATGGCTCTCTGCACCATAAAATTTCCCATATACAACAACAACAACACCCAAACCTTAATCCCAAAAGAATTTGGGATCGGCTAACATGAATCGATCTATGATATTGATGCCAAAAAGAGAAGACGGACAAGAAAGAGAAGAAAAAAAAAAGATAAAATAAATAAAATAAAAATAAATAAATATAAGATAACAATAACACAAGAATATAAGAAAACTAAAAGATAAAAAATAAAAGACCATAAAAAGCTAGAAGATAAAAATAACATAAGAATATGAAAAGATAAGGAAGATAAACGATAAAAGAAAAAAGAAAGGGAAGGTAGAAAACACATCAATCGCCCACACGGATGTGCGCCCTCCACTTTGCTCTCTCCAAAGTCATACTCTCATCCAACCCAAAAAGACGCATATTAGTTCTGATTCCTCTAATCTAAGTCTGTTTGGGTCTTCTCCTCCCTCTCTTCTCTGTCTCTTTTCCCCACCCCTCAAGTCGTCTAACAAATGCATCACTCGGTCTTCTACGCACATGCCCAAACCACCGTAAACGAGACTCCTGCATCTTATCTTCTATAGGTGTTACTCCCACCGTTTGTCTGAATACCTCATTGCTCAAGCGGTCTTTTTTTATATGTCCACACATCCAACGCAACATACGCATCTCTGCCACACTCATCTTTGAATGTGACATTGCTTCACCGCCCCACACTCTACGCCATACATTAATAACGGCCTAATTGCTGTACGATAAAATTTACCTTTCAGTCTAGTCAGCATACCTCGATCGCATAGAAATCCTGAAGCACTCTTCCATTTCATCCACCCAGCTCTGATTCTATGGCATACATCTCCATCTAATTCACTATCCTTTTGAATTATGGAACCCAAGTAACGGAACATATCACACGCTGGTATTTCCTTACCATCAAGAGTAATCCTACTGTTGCTACTACTCCTACCTCCACCGAACTTGCACTCCATATACTCAGTCTTGCTTCGGCTCAGTCTGAAACCATTGGTCTCCAATGTTTGTCGCCATACTTCCAACTTTGATTTAACACCGGATTGTGTCTCATCAATCAATACAATATCGTCGGCAAACATCATGCACCATGGTATCTCTTCTTGAATGGACTTCATGAGTTCATCCATGACTATAGCAAATAGGAAAGGACTCAGAGCAGATCCTTGGTGCACTCCGATAGTAATAGGGAACTCTATGGTCCTCCCTACACTAGTGCGGACACTTGTAGTACAAGCATCATACATATCCATGATGATACTGATATACTTACGTGATATGCCTTTTCTAGTTAAGGCACACCAAAGAACTTGTTGAGGTACCCTATCATATGCCTTTTCTAAGTCAATGAACACCAAATGCAGATCCTTTTTAGTGTCTCTATACTTCTCCACAACTTGTCTAAGAAGGTGAATGACCTCAGTTGTTGAGCGTCCAGGCATAAAACCAAATTGATTCTTCAAAATTTTCCCATATATGGTGCATTAAATACGCTTTTCACATTTTTCTTGTTTTCCCTCCAAATCTCCTGGGAAAGTAAGCTAAGTGCCCGCATACAGAAATCCAGTAAACTTTGCGAGGAGTCCATACCACCCAGCCTATGTCGCCCGGTTTCAGGGTCTATTTCATTGGTCATATATCTTAGCTGAAGTCCCCCACTTCTGATGTTTCGGGCGTGCCTCGGACATAAATAATGTAAAGAATAGAACTTACGCCTCTCGGTCCAAACATTGTCATTCTAGGTGTTGATGTGACGTCTGTCCTTGCATTTCATGAGGCCTTGAGGTGATGGTTGGGGCTGGCGGTTCAACTTCCGATATTTTCGCCATGATTACTTGACTCTTTGCCTCTGTGCGACACGTGTCCTGGGAGACACTGTCACGCCCCAAACCGCATCTGAGCACATCAACAACTGCTGCACAATCAAGTGATGTCACCTTCAGGTCACCATCACTTGATTGTACAAGGCATACATGAACTTTGGACATGTTTACTTCACGGGTTACTAAACAATGCTTATTAAGACTCGCGTTAATAAGAGGTGCATAAAATAAGCAGTGTTGTAAGCTCATGTTTACTTCAAAGGATTTAAAACATCGTTTAACATTAAAATGTCCAAAATAACCCTATACATATATAGATGCACAATCATAAATGAACACAGGTATATAATATCATATACACTAGTAAAAAAATGGCTTATAATGACATTAAATTAGTGTCACTAAACGATTTAATGACACTCAGAAAGTGTCACAGAAAAGCCGGGCAAGTGACACAAAATTTAGTGTCACCGTTAACAAGTCACTTTTATGTCACAAAATTATGACATATAAACATCATAGAGAACTGTGATATATACGTAATAAGGATTTTTGTGATACCAATGCATCATGTTTTTTAGTGATATATACATAACAAGAATTTTTGTGATCAGGGGCGGACCCAGGAAATCCATCTTGGAGGGGTGGTATTTTAAACAAAAAAATGTAGACGCTCAAAAAACCTTAATTTTAAATGAAGCATTAAAATAGTACACAATAGACAAAAAAATAGAAGAGACATAATATTATTACAGAATAGTAAAGTTAATACCTTAAAATTGTGCCCGATGCTCCTTCAACGAGATAAATTCCTCAATCACGGCTTTTGAGTCAAAAGTTTTAGCAATTTATCTTTCAATATAAACAACAAGGTTGTATGCAAGATACTCATCCTCCATTTTATTGTGAAGCCTTGTTTTTATAATTTTCATTGCTGAAAAAGCCCTTTCTGTTGTTGTTATCGATACAGGTAGAGTCAACAAAAGTCGAACCAATCTATCAAGAAGAAAGTACACTTTTGACATCTCAGTCTCCGCTAATCCTTGACAAAGTTCACCCATTGTGGACAAATTCACCAACTCCGGATGATTTAGAACATTTAACTTGTAATGCTGCAATTGAAACCTCAAGCCTACCTTCTCCTGCTCAATAAAATCAAAGGGGTAGTATTTATCCACTAAAGAACAAATATCATCAATGTTAAAGGACTTATATGAGTCCTTAGGATCCAAAGCACAACTAAGAGTAAGAAGATCCATTATCTGTTCACTGAATCTGCTATTCAGCTCCAACAATTGTGAATCTATGGCTGCGTAAAACATATCAACCCGATAATGACGTTCAATATCAAACCCTTCTTGATCATTGCGTATGCATTTTACCACATAAGGAGACTTCATATTAGGAACTTCAATATCATGCTTTTTGCAAAACTCTTTAACAATTTCTAAGAAGTTATCCCATCCACCTTCCCTTAACTTTTGGATCAACATTTTGGTGCTTGACACCAAATGCATAGCATTTAGTATGTCTTGGGTCTTCTTTTGTAGATGCTAACATAGAAGATCTTTAATGCCCATAATTTGTTTAATAAGATGCAACAAGAAAACAAAATTAAAAGATTTAATCTTCTTAAGTGCTTCAGCTGCATCTCCACGAGTAGAATAGTTATTACCATTCTCTTCAACATCTTCTAAAACAGAACAAGTTGCAGCAAACATCCTAATCAAATTGCAAATAGAACTGAAATGTGAGCTCCAACGAGTTTCCCCAGCTCATTGTAATGTACCAACCTGATTAAGTCCTCTTCCTGTTTCAAGCTCACCAATTTCCAACATTCTTGCAATTTCAAGTGCTTGCGCTTCCTTTAATTCATCATTTCGTTTGCAAGAAGAACTAGTCACATTAATAATATGTTAGTCCCTGTTTTCTATAACAGCAATATAATATGGCATACAGATGAAAGATTATCAACAAAGATGAACACAGAAAGATCAAGTGTAAACCTTCTCTGATATACCGTGAACAGTTCGTACAAGAATGATAAGCGCTAAGGCTATTTTGAGCAGATACGAAAGTTAACTGCAAACCTGAGTCCTCCGCCCTCTTTTATAGGCGAGGCTCAGGTATGCGTAAAAAGGCTTCTCGCCTAAGTCCTGGCAGATGAATATGCTGGAGTCTGTTCATCGAACTTTGAAGCTGTGGAACGGGATGGTGTGATGATCTTCTCTGTGTATATCAAGGATAGCGTCAATAGGGTGGATGCTGGACTTCATATCTCTTTCCAGTATTTGTCGTTGTTTTCCAGATGATCTGTGCATCAGCATGTGAAGATGTCCGCCAGCCAGTTTGCCCTTAAGGTGAGTCAAGCCACGGATCTTCAGTTCATCTAGCTGTTTGAGCTTGTCTGCGGTTCTCCAAATTCCCTTTCTGATTTCCTCTTGGAAGGGGGCATTTATTCTGATGTTTTCCCAGAGCTTTTCTTTTGGGGGCAACTTGCCCGCCGTTTGTCTGATGACGGATTCTAGCTCCCTGGGTATCTTTTTGTAGTCCTCCCCTTCTTTGAGTTCCTCTTCATCAAGGCGTATGATATCTTCTGCGCATTTGGCCAGCAACTCTCTCAGCCACCAATTTCGCTGCATATCCTCTATTTCAGCTTCGCACCTAAGATCATCCCACTCTGTCCACTTTCTCGGCCAAACGTCGTGTACCACAGCATCCTCGAGTGCATCATGAATGTCTTTGCCTTGGGGAATGTATGGGACTCTCAGCTGCGGTGATCTTTCTCGTGAAGCACAACCGGGTTCACTAGGATTGCCCGTTGTCATCAGCTTAGAACTGAGTTATGGCTGATGGCCTGACTTGACAGATGAATCAGAGATAGCATCGTCAGGACTTCCATCCCCTCCTCGGACGGTATCCTTTGGAGACACGCCTCGGGATGTTGTCATCGATTTCGAACTGTGTTCTGATCGATGGCCTGAGCTTTGTGATGTACCAGAGGTAACCACTACAGGACTTCCATCCCCTCCTCGGACAGTATCTCTAGGAGATAAGCCTCGGGATGTTTCATCTAGCTCGACTAGGCTAGAGAGTTGGGCTTGGTTGTGGCTCGAGGAAGGTGGTGGTTGGTTGGTGGGTTGGTTTGATGAGGTGTTTGGCTGGGGTTCATGGCTGGTAGAGGCTGCTTGCTCAAGTGTCCGAGGTCTCTTGTTCTCCCCCTCATGAGGTTCCGAATCATCGGGGTCCTCATGGGAACGTTTGAGACCTCGGGGACTGTCACGGCAAGTGCCGTATTGAGGGCGGTCATGGTTGAAGAAAACTTGGAGAAGGTCACGCTCGAAGGGTGTAAGGTTGCAAGCGTCGACCTCCAGTAACCGAAGAAACAGGAGATCGGCGAGCTCAAGTCGGGATAGGTGGAAGGGATTGGTCGAGGTAGAGGGCGATACTAGTTCTGTATCGTGGGTTCCCTGAGAGGGTGAAGGGCTAAGGGGTTTGGTGGAGGTGATAGGGATGACAGGAGTGGGTTGAGGAATGGATTGAGAGGGTGAAGAGTGAGGTTTGGGGTGGCTCTGTTCACTATGAACCGCTGGGGTTGTCTTGGAGTCCTGTGCCCAAGAGGTAAATGCTTGTTGCACCCATGGTTTGATGGTGGACTCCATGTAGCGGTTCATGAGAACGGTAACGTCTTCGGGTGTAAGGGATCCAGTTATGGGGGTTGTAATTGTTGTCACAGCATCAGTGAAGAGAGCTGATGTGTGGCCTGCGTTCAATGATGAAGTCATTGTTGGCATAGCAGGGCTTCCGACCATCATCGTTTGCACTCCGGTCGTTGTATTCAGGGTGTGTGCACCTGTATGTGCTGTGAATGGTGTAGTTGTCCTAGAAAAATTTGAAAAAGTGGGGAATGTGACACCTAGACTCGATGTGTGGAAAGAGGGGGTTGTGGCCTCGGGCGGTGGGCCACTAGAGCGCTCAACTGGTTCGGAGGGAACCAGTGAGGTGGGTGAGTCCCGTGTTGTTGAAACGTTAGCCTTTTGGGAGGCTAACGAGTGGCTGGGAGAGGGCGGTGCACGCGCAGTTGAGCCTGATGCTGCGGCTTCTACCCGGGAACCAACAAGATTGGCCCCTGTACTTAAGGATTCGGCCCGGCTTATAGTGATGAAGGGAAGACAGTCGTCAAAGATGTGTAGGTCCTCCTCAGCGACCAAACTTTTTCTGACAGGACGCTGCTTCTTTGCCTTAGGTGAACGGGGAGCAGCAATCTTAGCTGTAACTGGCTCCTTCACTTGTTTGATGACGATGGTCTTGGGACGGACAGCTATAAATGGAGCTGCATCCTCAGGGGTGATTTTCTTTGGAGGAGAATCAAGTGGCAGCTTCCCCTTTTGGATTAGCGCAAAGGTGTGTTCCACGTCGTCAATATCGTCCTCGTCATCATCATCGTTAGCATCGTCATCATCTTTGGCCACGCTATTGGATGCCTCATCGTCAGCCTTTTTATGGACCGGGCTGAACGATTCATTGACAGGTTCCGCAGCGTTTGTACGTGTGCCCTCAGCCGTCTGATTCCTCTCGAGAGAATCGTCAGACTTCCCTTCATGGGGCACACGCGCCACTGGTTTCTGTGGCTTACGGGCTCTCTTTGGACCCTTACTTGCTCTCGGCTTAGGCCCCGGGGCAGGTCCAGCTGGGTTTTGCTGAACCATGGGGCCATCTCTCTGTAAGCTCTCTCTATACTGGACAACTGCGGAGTGTCGTGGATTGCCCAAGTCCAGCAGATAGTCTGGTATTGTCATCCCCACAGTTTCATGTTTGAAGTGCTTGAAGTACTGGAGCTTGGGGGCAGTGTACTGATCTTCATCTCTGCGCTTTGGAATCCCTAGGTGGGCGGTCATGTATTCATCAATGATGAGCGCCAACCATCTGGCGTAGGGAATTGTCATGCCCGTTTTTCCGTCCTCTTTGTCCTGGACTTGAGTCACCAGCTCGATCCAGAATAGCTGCGCCATGTCATAAGTTTTGTTGAAAACGATCCCATGGAAGATTTGGAAAATCTGCATGTTGCACTTGTCATGGCCAGCGTGCTTCGGAGATAGGCATTTGTTGACGAGGCCAAACAATGTCTTCCATGGGTATGGCAGGTTCATCAACTTGAAGTGAGACAGGAACGGCAGTGGTGCATCATATCCCAATTTCTCCAACCCTTGCATCAGTTCAGTCTTTGAGGGTAGCGGGTCATAGGTTTGGTGGACAGGCAGCTCCAGTGTGGTTCGTAGTGTGGACGCTGTTAATGCCAGCCTTCTGTTGTGGAGCGTGGCACTGATACTAGATGCGTCCTTCTTGGACGGCATGTGCATGGTCCCCCATAACTGTTGCAGATAGATTTCGGGGACCGTTATAGCTTTGGTGAGTGCCGGCCAGATGTAGTGCCCCTTAAGGATGATAGGGATGACTGGGTCAGGGCACTTGAAGATGGCAAGGTCGAGCTGGTAGTTGTTGTCCTGTAGCTGAACCCATTTGTATTTGGGAACAGCTGAGTATAGAGTGCATCTTCCTGGGAGGTATCTTGTTGAGTGCCTGACATATTTAGCTGAAAGAATAGCACACGTTAGCAAAAAAATGAGTTTCCCCTTGGGGTTGATGATTTATGAGATGAGGAAACGAGTTCTGGCACCAAGTTATAAAACTCGAGATCATGGACACGATTTTACAAACTCGAGGCCATGAGCGCGAGTTTACAAACTCGAGCCCATGAGCGCGAGTTTACAAACTCGAGCCCATGAGCGCGAGTTTACAAACTCGAGCCCATGAGCGCGAGTTTACAAACTCGAGCCCATGAGCGCGAGTTTACAAACTCGCGGTCTGTCCTCGAATTTGAAACGCCGGATTTTGAAACCAGGCGTTTTAACTCGAGTTGCAGAACTCGTGTTTTTGCCCAACGAAGACGATAACCACCTGTAAAGACATAAAAACAATACACATTCAACCAAAACTCTTTTTGAAAATTTTATTTGAGAAAAAACCGTGTTTTTGGTTTTGGGACCGTTCGTGGTGGCGTTCGAAAACCAGAGTGAGAGGGGAGAGAACTGGTCGAGTTGCTACCTCGTGGAGATAAGTTGGGGGAGATCGGTGAGAGGGAGTGAAGACGGATGATTTTTACAACTCGCAGTCTACAGGAGAGGGATCTCAAGCTCTGGGAGATCTTTGAGAGCGAGAAAGAAGATGTACCGAAATGAGAAGGAGCGAGAGTTTTGAAGGTTTAAATACGCGAGTTTAGGAACGGTTTGGGCCAGAACAGGTAGCTGGGCCCGTTTGGCCTTAAGGGTTAAAAGACCCATTTCTGATCAATAAAAGTACTCCCCCTCGCTGAAATCAATACACACACTATTTTTGGGATTTTCAAATTCTCTCCCCCTCAATGAATGCAACGCACACACACTATTTTTTGATCTTTTTCAAATTTTCTCCCCCTCGATGAATGCAACGCACACACACTATGTACATATGCAACTCACACACACTATTTTTTGGGATTTTCAAATTTTCTCCCCCTCGATGAATGCAAACGCACGCACACTATTTTTGTATTTTTCTCGGGTTTCTCCCCCTTGACACATGCAACGCACACAAAACACAAAATGCAACTCACACACACTATTTACAGACACACGCACGCACACTTTGTACAAGTCCTACACACGCACACCTTTTTACAGACCAGTGGAAACAAAATTACATTGGCTCGAGGTTCAACATGCCTAATTTGGAAACCAAAAACTGGAATCTCTTTTCATCCAGTGCCTTAGTAAACAAATCAGCCAGTTGAAGCTCGGAGCTTACAAAGTACATGTCAATATCCCCTTTTTCCACGTGGTCTTTGATGAAATGATAGCGCAGGTCGATGTGTTTGGTGCGGGAGTGATGAACCGGGTTGCTGGTGATGGCGATGGCACTCTGTGAGTCGCTGTAGATCGGGATATGGCAGAAAGTGTAACCGTAGTCCTTTAGCTGGGTCTTCAACCGCGATGTATTCTGCCTCGGCCGTAGATGTTGACACACAGTTCTGTTTCTTGGAAGACCACCAGACTAACTTATCGCCCAAGCACTGGACAGCTCCCGATGTACTTTTGCGGTCCATCCGGCAACCAGCAAAATCTGCGTCAGAGTATCCGACTAGGTCAAAACCTGAGTGCTTGGGATACCAAAGGCCTAGATTCACAGTGCCTTTGAGGTATCTCAGAATTCTTCGAACAGCGGTCAGATGGGATTCCTTTGGATTCGCCTGAAAGCGTGCACATAAGCATGTAGAAAAAACGATATCAGGCCTGCTAGACGTGAGATATAGCAACGATCCAATGATGGCCCTATAGTTTGTGGCATCGACTGGCTTCCCAGAGGGGTCTGAGTCCAGTTTATTGTTGGGGGACATAGGGGTCGTCATGGAAGATTTGCTATCAATGTTGAATCTCTTAAGCATTTCCAGAATATACTTGGACTGATTGATAAAAATGCCGTCAGAGAGTTTTCTTACTTGCAGGCCTAGGAAGAAATTCAGCTCTCCCATCATGCTCATTTCAAACTTAGTTTTCATCAGTTTCTCAAAATGTTTGCACGGACGTGGATTTGAGGAGGCGAAGATGATGTCATCAACATAGATCTGAATCAGGATGATGTCAGACTTATGTCGCTTGATGAAAAGTGTGGTATCAATCTTCCCTTTTGAGAAACCTGAGTCAACCAGAAATTCGGTTAAGGCATCGTATCAAGCTCTTGGTGCCTGTTTCAGCCCATACCGAGCTTTCTTCAGCTTGTACACATGGTTGGGATATCTGGGATCTACAAATCCTTCGGGCTGAGCGACATAGACTTCTTCTTCCAAGACTCCATTCAGAAAGGCAGTCTTGACGTCCATTTGAAAGACGGTAAAGTTCTTGTGGGCCGCGTACGCAAGAAAAAGGCGGATGGCTTCAATTCTTGCTACGGGTGCAAACGTTTCATCATAGTCTATGCCCTCTTGCTGATTGTATCCTTTAGCGACCAGCCGTGCCTTGTTGCGTATCACTATGCCTTCTTCGTCCTTCTTGTTCTTGAACACCCATTTAGTGCCAATGATGGTTTTCTGAGGGGGTTTAGGCACGAGTGTCCACACTTCTAGTCTGTCAAACTGATTGAGCTCATCTTGCATGGCAATCACCCAATCTGGATCAGCGAGTGCCTCTGAGACTTTGGACGGTTCATTCTGGCTTAGAAAGCATGCATAGTGACATTCATTCATAGTAGCCGATCTCGTACACACACCTTGACCTGGATCACCAATTATTTGATCAGTGGGATGAGCTCTTGTCCATTTCCTCTCATGTTCCAGAGGAGCAGGAGTAATGATCGGTTGATCCGAGTCCTAGTAGGGGATTGGTGACTCTTGAGCGGCTGTAGTGTGCGGTGGAGATGAGTCTGATGTGTTAGCAAAACCGTGATCATCCACTCCTCCGTGATTAGGTTGGGGAGTTGACGGAGTAGATGGTTCATTATCTGGTCCAAGAAGGAGTGGAATTTCAGTGAAAGGAGTCGGTTGCTGTGGAATAGGTGACGATGAAGCTGATGTGCATGGAGAAGATGAGGGTTGTGAATTCTCGTAGAAGTTCTGAAAGAGAGAATTGAGAATCACACCTTCAGTTACATGGTTTGGTTCAACTGTGTCAGAGTCCGCTGGTACAGCAAGTGACGGGTCAGCCTGTAAGTGTTCCGTTGCGAAGTCAGCCATCTCATAGAATGTCACATTCACACTCTCAATGACCGTTCGCTTGTCTCTGAGATATACTCTGTAAGCTTTGGACTGTTGTGAGTAGCCTATGAACACCCCTTCTTGGGCTTTTGCGTCTAGCTTACCCCTATCAGTTCTGTCATTCAGTACGAAGCACTTGCAGCCAAATATTTTGAAGAATGAGATATCCGGAGTCCGGTTGAAGAGGATTTCATATGGGGTCTTGTCGAAGCGTTTGTGGATAGATGTTCTGTTTTGGGTGTAGCACGCAGTATTAATGCCCTTTGCCCACATAAAGTGAGGCAATCTTGATTGGATGAGCATGGTGCGTGCCGCTTCGACAAGGCTCCTGTTCTTTCTTTCAACCACTCCATTCTGTTGGGGAGTTTTGGCTGCTGCAAATTGCTGTGTGATACCGAGAGATTCATAGAATCCAGTGAGAGTTTGATTCTTGAACTCGATACCGTTGTCAGTTCTGATGATTCGAACACTGTGTTGCAGCAGTTTCTGGACTGTTCTGACAAAGGTCATAATGATTTCTGCTGCCTCGTCCTTTTTACGAAGAAATTTTGTCCATGTGTACCTAGAGAAGTCATCGACGATCACCAGTGTGTATTTGCGGTCGTTGATGCTTTGGACTCTCATCGGTCCACACAGATCCATGTGTATCAATTGCAGCGGTAGAGTAGATGATGGGACTGGCTTTGACTTGTGGGAGCTTCGCGTCATTTTGCCCATTTTGCAGGCACTACAATGATTTTCAGCGGAAGACTTCAACGGAGGAAGCCCCTTCACAAGTTTCTTCGATGACAGGATGTACAGATTCTTGAAATTGAGATGGGAAAGACGTATGTGCCAGAGGTTGTTTTGTTCTGTTGAAGCTTTGGACAGCAGACAGATGGAAGTGGTGGATTGAACGCTTTTCAGATCAATAGTGTACAGGTTTGAGGACCTGTAACACGTTAATAATGAGTTCCCTTCGTTGTCTAGAACACAGCATTGTTTGGCAAAGAACCTCACTTCCATCCCACTGTCACAGAATTGTCCTATGCTCAGAAGATTGTGTTTGAGCCCTTTGACAAATGAGACATCCTTGATGGTGACACTGGCATAGATGACATCCCCATATCCAAGAATAGGAGATGAGGCATCGTTCCCGAATCTAACATTGCCTCCGTAACAGTTGGTGTAGTTGCTCAGTAGGCACTTTATTCCGGTCATGTGGGTTGAGCATCCAGAATCCAAGTGCCACACATGACCGTCCTGCAAAGCAATTAAACAGGTTTAGGTACCCATCTTGGAATGGATCCTTCCTTATCAATGAAAAACACCTTTTTAAGTTTTGCTTTGAGCTGTGATCCAAGGTCAGCAGCTCTTTCAACAAAAGATCTATCTCTTGTGGGCTTTCCGATAGCCAGATCTGCTTTTGCAGTGGGTCTGATTTTTGGAGCCCACTTAGCAGTTTCCATTTTAGTTTTGGTGGGTCTGTATTTGGGGACCCACCTTTCCATTTTAGTTCTGGTAGGTCTGAATTTGGGGACCCACCTTTCTGTTTCAGTTTGGATGGGTCTTCGTTTGAGGTCCCACCTTTCAGTTTTAGGTTTGGTAGGTCTCATCTTGGGGACCCACCTTTCAGTTTCAGGTTTGGTAGGTCTCATCTTGGGGACCCACCTTTCAGTTTCAGGTTTGGTAGGTCTTATCTTGGGGACCCACCTTTCCGTTTTAGGTTTAGGAGGAGAGTAGACAGGTGCTTTGTGATTGAACAGTTGTTTCTTCAGTTTAGTTTTGAAAATCTCCTCTTTAGAAAGCCGATTAAGATGTTTCCTTGAATGAACTCTAAGAGAATATTTCATATCAGGAATACAAAACGTTCCCTTAGAAGTTCTTTTCTTGGTTTCTCTTTCAGGTTTGAGCTTTCTGAAAGGCTTTGATTTAACGACATTCACATCACATTCATAATTTTGGGGGTCTGGAACAGAATAACCATAAGCAATAGTAGAATTATACATTGAACCATGTTCAAAAGATGTCACAGAGTTTTTCAGCTTGGGACTCAAGACTGAACTACTAGAAGCTGAGTTTACATGGACAGACTTAGACTTAGTTTTAGAGTACAAAATGGAGCTGGATCTGGGACCAGGTTTATTCTCAAAAACTTTCTTCTTGCCAGCAGCTATTTCCTTTCTTTTTATCTCCCATTCTTTCTTCTCTTCTCCTCTTCTTTTCACTTCTTGTCCTGTGACAAAAGGAGAAGAGCGATGAGTGGCAGATTTTTCAGAAGATTTAGTTTTATCAGAAGAGGTTTGAGCAATTTTTAAAACAGAATGATATTTTTCACTCAATTCATCAAATTTGCTTAACAGTTCTTGCCAATTGCTTTCAGAACTTTTCTTTTCAGTTTCAAAACGCTCTCTCTCGTTGTCAAGGGTTTTCTGAAGATCCACATATTTTTGGACTAACGGAGAGATGCATTTGTCCTGTCCGGACTTAAAAATTCCAGTTTTGGGAGTGGGACCCATTGGACATTCGAAATAAGGAACCCCTTTTGGGACATTAAAAATGTCAAACCCCTCCTCGTTGTAGATTACTTTTTCTTTAGAAAGAGCTTTCTCAACCAGAGGAGTATAGTCAAAAGAAGTTTCAATTTTAGGATTACTCCTCTTCTCTTCTTCTTCTTTAACAGTTTCTTCTTCACTTCCAAATTTCATTTTCTTTTCAATGTCTAGAGTTAAGTAAGTTGCATCATACAACTGGCGGCAGTCAACTTTCTTTAAATGACAAGGATTCGGCAGTCCAAGACCAGCTTTTGGGTTGTAATGTTGAACGTCGCTTATTCGATTTAGAAAATCTGTATGTTCGGTTTGACCTCTTCTAACACACACGTCCTCAAGTTCCTTTACTTTGCTTAAAAGGCTGCTTCTTTTATTCCTTAAAAATTCACAGTCAGCTTTGGCTGTGTTTTTCTCAACTTCACTGTCTTGCAGTTTCTTAGTCAGTTCAGCTATTTTAAGTTCAAAGCTTTCAAAGTCTGAGGACACCTTTTTGATTTGATCTTTGGCATTTTCAAGTTGAACGCTTAAGGAAGATTTTTGGTCAAGGTTCTGTTTCAGTACCCTGTAATTATTGTCTAATCTCTCCTGCAGTTCTTTAATGAGGTTGTCCTTATTGTGTAAGGACTGAGTTTGGATAGTGTGAGAGTGATTAGAGGTACTTACAGTGCTTGTAGAGCATTCACTTCCGGGGATCGCAGCATCATCCTTTTTCTCTTCTTCATCCTCCAGCCTTGCCATCAATGCGAAGTTTTCTTCTTCTTCTTCAGTATCATCTTCCGCCCACTGGACCAGCTCAGCATGTTTGCCAGAGGCTTCTACTTCCTCTTGTTGTGCCAAGAAGAGCTTTCGTTTATTCATCAGAATCTTTTGTTTGTAGAAGTTTGCATCTCTCTTCTTTGGAAGCCGACAGTCTTTGCTGATATGTCCAGGCTTCCCGCAGTTATAGCACACAGAGGTGTTAGCAGTTGATGTAGCCTTCCTGGCTGAGCTTTGGTCCTGGTTCTTCTATTTGTAGTTGGAGGAAGAGGTCCGCAGCTTATTTGAAGAGCTGTTCCTCTTGGCAAACTTCTTGGCAAGCAGGGTCATCTTCTTCTGGAGATCTGCAAGCTCAGCTTCAAGATCAGTTCCTTCTTCATCACTTTCATCTTCATCAGATTCAACCTCCACTATCTTCTTCTTCTTATGCAGAGGTTTCGTTGTTCTTTTGGGCTGAGCTTCCATCAGTAGAGCCAGAGGATTTGGGCTTGATTGCTCCTCAGTGCATACAACATCATTGACAAACTCCTTTAACAGCTCATTTAAGGTGAAGAGATCAATCTCATCCATGTCAATGCGTTGTCTCAAGTCCTTTACTGTTTTACTCCAAGATGGGTGCAGACTGGACAGAAATCTAGTATTCAGTTCCAGGTTGGTTCTGAATATTTTGATTTTCCTCATTTCATTCATCAGCTCTGGCATGAGTCTCGTGAAGAGGTTCTCCAGGAACAGCCTTGAACGAGTCATAAGCCATTCGAATAGCAGATTTCTTGGTTTTTAGGCTTATGCTCGTGCCTTGGAGTAATTTTTCAATCTCATCCCACATTTCTTTTGCAGTTTGCATACTGTCAATCATCACGTACACTTCATTGGGGATGGCTTGGAGGAGGTATGTTTTGGCCATAAGGTCTCCTCTCAGCCTTAGCTTGTCTGCTTCCGTGTATTCAGACGGCCTCTTTCGTCTTGTTTCCGGAGGAATGGGTGGATTATTAGTTGAGTCCCCTCCTACGTCAATCATCAGAACAGCTGGTCCTTCCAGGAGCGATTCCAGCATTGCGTCGGAGTTTTCTTTGTGCTCTAGGAAGTTCAAGAAACGAGTTCTCCACATTTGGTACTCCCCTTTTCTCAGAGATAGAGGAGTACTGCTGTTTCCTTGCGCATTGGATTCAGAAGCCATTTCTGTAGCTGTAGAAAACTGACCGTTCGAGAAATAAGATCAGAAAATTTACTAAGTCAAGAACTCGAGTTCCTGAGTATTAAAGGCCTAAACTCGAGGTCTGGGGAACTCGAGGTGAGAGTTCGAGTTTATAAACTCGAGGTCAAGAGTGCGAGTTTCCAAAACTCGAGGTGTAAACTCGCAAGGTCAAAACTCGTGGTCAGACTGCGAGTTTGCAGACTGAGAGTTTGTAGACTGCGAGTTCTTGAGCTCGAGTTCCTAACAGCGAGTTTCTCAACTCGAGTTTGCAGCTGCGAGTTTATGCGAAAAACACCTGGGCTGCGAATTCCTGAAAAAATAAAACTTCATATTTTCAGAAAAACAAATATGGTAAGTTGTAGCCCTTGATGTAGAGATCCTTTCACCCAAGTTTCAGGTCAAAAAGCTGCACAGAGCTTAGAGAAACGAGGGATGCGAGTTCTTGGATGCGAGTTTACAGAGAACAAGATTATGCAGAAACAAAAAAAGAAGTTATACTGCTTGATCGTCTTTGAAACGCGATTCTAACAGTATAACTTTTACAGTATTTGGTGCAGAAATAAGATTACAGATGATAAACTCGCTATTCTACAAAAAGGAAGGAAAAACAGAGTCTTTCGCAGATAGTTCTTCTGATCAGCTCTCGATCGGCTCTGATACCATTTGTTAGTCCCTGTTTTCTATAACAGCAATATAATATGGCATACAGATGAAAGATTATCAACAAAGATGAACACAGAAAGATCAAGTGTAAACCTTCTCTGATATACCGTGAACAGTTCGTACAAGAATGATAAGCGTTAAGGCTATTTTGAGCAGATACGAAAGTTAACTGCAAACCTGAGTCCTCCGCCCTCTTTTATAGGCGAGGCTCAGGTATGCGTAAAAAGGCTTCTCGCCTAAGTATGGGCCTAACACTTGGCCCATATTGAATACTATTCTAACAGATATATTTAATCAGTGCAGAACAGAAATAGTAAACATCTAAATTATTACAGACAAAACAGACAAACTTGATTCACAATAAAATAGTCTTCAACATAATACATACTAAATCGGTGAAAAACTTATGCACATATTTCACCTCTCTAGAAGCAGCAACCAATGCTAATTGCAACCGATGTGCTAAGCAATGAACATAGTAGGCATAAGGACAATCATTTAAAAATAATGCTTTAACCCATTCCATTCTCGCCGCATATTGCTAGCACCATCGTATCCCTGACCACGAATGTTCTGAACATCAAGACAAAATCTAGAAAGAACTGCACAAATTTCTTTTTTGAGAGTCAATGATGCGGTATCTCTAACATGCACAACATCAAAGAAACGCTCTCTAGTGAACCCCTTTTCATCAAAAAATCTCAAAATAATAGCCATTTGCTCTCTCTTAGATTCATCACGTGCCTCATCAACAAGAATTCAAAACTTAGAATCACCAATATCATGTTGAATCCTATGGCGTACTTTATTAGCAAGAATGTGTAAGATCTCCTTTTGAATTTTGGGAGAAGTATACATAGCATTTTTTGGAGCGTTATCCAAGACAACACTAGCAACTTGTTCATTACATGATGCTAAAAGTGAAATCATTTCAACAAAATTACCTCAATTTCTAGAACTAGAGGATTCATCATGACCTCGTAGAGCACATCCTTGTGAAGCCAATCACCGAACAACATCAATAGAGGTCATAACCTGCAAGCGGTTACCTTCCTTCATCTCTAGAGTTTGTGCTTCGATGACTTTGTCAATATGGCGAGATTGATTCAATAAGTCTTGACAACTTTTCCAAGAATTATTGTGTGGAGGACATGGATCTTGGCCCACATGATTCAAGAAAGCACAATTAGCCCCGTCATTAACTTTTTTCCAACTATTAAAACCTTTAAGAGTGAAAGCATCAGTTCCATGACGAGTTATAGGTTTTGCGAAAAGGAAACATGGAAAGCAATATGCTACATCTTGTGTGGGGGAATACTCCAACCAATGAAACTTTTGAAACCAAGAAAATTGAAATCTTCGAGGACGCTTCTCATCGGATAGGGGATACTTTGCCAAATGTATTTGATATGGCTCCATCTCCAAATATGCTCGAATAACTTCATCTCTTTGATTAACAGGATATTCTCATATCTGAGGGCGTTTTCCGGGATCACGTTCTAGATTCTTGATATCAAATGAAAGACTAGAACAACCCAAATATTTGGAAGTATTAGTAACTTCCACATTTGCAGTTTCCGCATCGACCGGATTACTCGGACTACAACTCGAATCCACAGTTTTTCTCTTAAAATGAGAGTAAATGCTTGTCTGCTTCTTCATCTTTCAGTTATTCATTATATCCTTCACAAAGAAATTAAAAAACTACTTCAAAATACTGAAAAATAAATGAAATACACAAAGACATAACCATCTAAAATTGATAAAATCTACGAGTATTATTTAAGGACTAATCATCTAACCCTAACACTCTAAAAGGCTAAAACTTATAACACAATTTAACACAATCATCACAAAATAAGAGAGAAAAAGTCTAAAAAGTAAAAATGCTCTAACTGACCTAGTGACTTGCGCCATAGCTGGAGCTTGGAGGCAGAGCCAGAGAGAAGCACCGAGCACGGCGTGTCGGCGTGGATAGTGGACGGCGGAAGCACGGTGTGGACGGCGGTCGGCGGAACAAGGCTTGGCTGGTGGCTTCGCGAGGTAGCATTCTGCGTTCTCCGTTCTCGGCGACTCGGCTTCTCAGCTTCGCGAATCGCGAGGTAGCGTTTTGCGACTCTGCGTTTTCCCATTCTTTTGTTCATCGGCTATTGGCGAATCGGAACAGGGAGAAATAATTAAGCCCGGTTGTGCGCAGGTGGATAGGCAGTGGGCTAGGCTCTTTTGTGGTGGGCTAGGAATAAATAATAGGGTGGGCTGATATAATATTGTTTCCATATTTTCTATTTTTTTAGGCTTTTAAACAATTGGGTTTCTACGAGTGGCTGTGTTTTGGGGGCGAAAATATTTTTGGGGGGGTTCAATTTTTTTTGGAGGGGCGAAAATTATTTGTTAAGGAGGGTAAAAAAAAATTCGTATATATATACACTAAAAAAACAATTGTTGGGGGACGGTAGCCCCCCTGGGTCTGTACTACGGTCGGCCCTTGTTTGTGATACCATTGAATCATATTTTTTAGTGATATACCGACATCAACATTAGTGATAATAATGAATAACTAAAATTTCAAACGCTTTTATTTATATATAAAATTCTTACATAAATGTGTTTGTACATTATTCATGGGGGCATACCCCAGAAATCATAAAAAATCATAACTCAAGTGAACAAATGACAAGTTAAAATAAATGAAAGTATGCTAAAATAATGTACCAAAGACGGAGTAGAGAAAACAATAAACTTCACTAATTTGAAACTAGTCAAGATAGCGATTGTTCCATAGTTCTTCTAGTTGGCCGGAACACATTTTCCTTTCAAGAGGGGCATGTTCTTGAAGCTTTCGATCGGCAAGTAAAAAAATCCTATATCATTTCCTGCAATAAAGGAAACTAATATTATAGCATATTAGTTTTGAGGTAGACCGATCTGTTGTATTTCCACATCACTCAGGCTGTTGGAATTGACATTTGTATATTGACATTTATAAGAACCATAAATGAACAACAATTACTAAAACATATCATTATTCTCATGCACATTTTAGTGATACCCGCTTACGCGGCGTTGTAGTAAAACGGAGTCTAACCTTTTAACTTGGACCTAATAATTAGGAGTAACTAAAGATTGGACTAGTAATTTCTTTTCTCATTGACAAGATTTAAGTTACTTTCACTAACTTATCCTATTTCTAGGCTTCATTAATGTGTTTAAAATGGTTGGCCTAAATTATATTCTAATCTCATAGACAAGATAGATATAACTTTCCGCATTTTAGCTAACTAAATGGTCAACTTCATTAATTAATTATATTTCTCATTATAAACAATTGAATTTATTCCTCATAGACAAAGATTAAATTCTATCCATTAATTTATCATATCTCTAGGCTTCATTAATGGGCTCAATATGTTTGGCTTAAACTATTTATAATCTCATAGACAAGTTATAAATAATCTTCCAAAGTTTAATTAATGAAATGATCAAATCTATTAAGTAATCAAATTAATCATTTTAAACAACTAGTCCATAAAATTAGTTAAACTGCTAATTTTAGGTCAAACAAGGTCAACCCATATTCTTTAATTCAACTCATGCCCAATAGTAAATTAACTACAACAACTCATTACTAGTTTTAACGCTTTACATATAAAATAAGACATGATCATAAATCATAACAACAAAATAAAATATTAAAGTGAATACTCACTACATCTAAACTTTTGTTTCTGTCACAAATAAACATCATTTATACTAGGTATTGAGTTTATCTAAGTAGGAGATTAATATAACAACAAGAACTATTTTTCTTGAATAAATATGGAAAATACGAAATTCTTAAAATTAATGCAGAGAATGTTTCACTAACATTTGGAAAATAAAAACAACATATTCAGAATCTACACGACGAGAAGATGAATTTTCACATAAAGAACTTACAAATTGGAGGTAAAATGAGAAATATATGAAAGATTGAAGTTGAAGGTCCAACAATGGTGGAAATCCAAGCTTTGAGGAGGACGAAGACACCCTTTTTTATCCGAGTTGGGTGTAAGATGGTGTGTTTTGAGTTGGGGATGAAAGAGGGCTTTTATAGCCTTAGTTTCGTGGAAGGCGGTCTGAAGGGCGGCCGCCCTCCAGCCATGGCCGGCAGCCTTCAGTCACTTCCCCGACAAAGGTACGTGTACGCGTCAAATCCGCCGCAGCCGGCCATGGAGGGCGGTCGCCCTCCGTGGCCGCCTCCCGTCTTGTCTCAGCAACCGGTAGGTCAAATATCACATCCCGCCGTGGGAAGCCACGGAGGGTGGCCTCCCTCCGTCCCCCGTCGGCAACCTTCCATCATTTTGTCGTTATACAAAGTGTGGTGTGCTAGAACTGTCGAAAACTCGTAGGCGCCCAGAAAGGTGGCCGTCTTACCGACCGACTTACGTCAAATGGAAAAGTTGTCTTCACCAAAGTTTTATATATCGTTCTTGGCTAACTACTGGAATTTGAATTACATGCACTGGATTTGTAGTTTATGAGATGAACAAAACGGTGAGCACGTGTCACTTTCCATCGCAACTGCAAATGTATGACTTCTTTAAGCAATATAGCCATTCTACGATTGTTATTTTGTTATGTGTTCTTCATAAGAGTTGTATATCAAGAAGATGTCAATGTAATGCAACTGGTATCAAAAACTTTGGGCAATCATGCGCCAAGTTATGATCAAAATATGAACATGTGTCTTTATGCATCGTCCATTTTAATCAAAAGTGGCCATATAGGCGACCCCTTCTTGGTTTTTGAGCTTCCTTGCATGATTTCTTCCTCTCTTAGACTCTTCTCGTTTAACAATTTGTCAATATATCTTGTAAACTTCCGTAGCAATTCATTTGTTGGCAAAAAATGTCACTTTCTTCACGCAATTGACCCGAAATTTCGCCAAACATGTTATGAATGTGATTTTTACCTGATTTCATGAAACTTGAACCAAAATATATAAGACATGCCTTGGTTTTATATTTTCAATCCAAAAATCATAAATTTGAAAAGAAAAGTAAGTACAAAAATGGACTCATCAATCTTCTCACACTTAAGCGTTGTTTGTCCTCAAGCGACAAATCGGTTGCAGACACACTCAAAAAGGTAAAACCTGACCGTATTACAATCGAGTTGCTATTAAAGAAATAGAAACAAAACCCTCTTCTTTTGTTCTCAAATTTTAAACATTTTAGAAAAATCACCCAAACTACAAGAATTTAAAATTATTATTACATAAAAAAACTATTGATTATGTTAAACCACCAATCAATTCCTTATCCCAAGGTTTTCATTATTCTAATTTAGACATTTATCTTTTTCACAATTTTTTTTTGCCTCTTTTCCACTCTTGTTAGCGGTGTTATCCCATGGTAAATGCATATTTCATTCTCACAGACTATGATTAACGAATGAAACAGAACCCCTTTTCAGAGATGGAATTGTCCTATAACAATGAGTTTTGAAGAGATTTATTGATAATAGTATTTTTGCCTCTTTCCCACTCTTGTTGGCGGTGTCATTCCATGGTAATGCATATTTCATTCTCACAGACTATGATTAACGAATGAAACAGAACCCCTTTTCGGAGCTGGAATTGTCTTATAACAATGAGTTTTGAAGAGATTTATTAATAATAGTTCTTTTGTTTTTATGAATAAAATGAATGTCCAATTAAAACAAAATTAGCCCTTTACATTCGCAACCAAAAACCCATAACAACTTAGAGTTTTCTAAAAATAATAATAAAAGTAAATTCTTATAATAAGGGTGATTCTCTAAGCTATTATGTGATTGATACAATTGAGAAGTGAATGCTTCATATCAAAAATAGTAAAAAGATTGATCTAAAACAAGGTTTTAATTTTTTGTGTGTAAAACGCAACCTCCTCACACTTGAGCTGAACCTCGCCCTCGAGGTCACTTTTTAATACACACAGTTTTGAAATAAAGGCACATTTTTTGGTTCTTTCCTCACACTTGAGTTTTAAAAAGATTTTGTGAAGAGGAATGATGAAACCAGGAATAAAATTGTTTTAAAAATATCCTTACATCATCCATAGTCAGTTTTTTTGAAATTCGGTGAAGCGTTCAACTCACAATTTATTTATTGAAGCATAACCTGCAATCACACAAAACAAAAAAAAACAAAGTTATGAAAAACATGGGTTGCCTCCCAAGAAGCGCTTCTTTAACGTCACTAGCTTGACGTTTGAGAGAGAACTCTCTCTAATGCAAATCAGTTGTGGAGCACTCATCATTAGTGTCTCCACCTTATCCTCCAGGTATGCCGTCAGATGACGTAAACCTTTGAACTCTTGAGACCACCAAAATGTGATATAATCTTCGAAGAACACGTCGTTCGAACAAGGAATTAACACATATCCTGCATCACTCTCATTAGTAGAATCAACAAGTATTTCAGGTTCAGGTGCCTCTGGTTTCTCCAACTGCTCAAATGGAGCCATCAAGGTAAAAGTAGCCTGACTAGAGATTTCATACTCCTCTTAATGGGTTTTCTCTTCTTCATCTATGCCCCCACAAATATCATCTAGGCAAACAGATCCTTGCCTAACACAACTATGTTCGTCATCATTGAGTAGAGAGTCAAAGAAGGCGTCATCGGAGAATGTTTCCTACAAATCACACGTGTCAATAACAACTTCAACAGACATTTGGGTTTGTGTACGATCAACATCTTCATCAAGGCTATCTTTTAAGGACTCTTTAGTTGAGAGATCATCCATAGATGGTAGGGTAGGGCCGATATCACAAAATATCTCTTCAACTATGGTCTCTTCATCAACCTCAGTGGGCACTTCCAAATTGAGTTCTTCAGGACTAATTTCTACGAAGACAGGTTCTAGCTCAGTAGCAATGAGAGGCTCAAAAGAAATAGGGTTGAAAAGAGTTTCAACCATCTCGCCCATAGTTACCGCAGCCTCCTCAGATTTAGCACCTTCCTCGTATGTCTCCTCTTGAACTTTGTGTTCATTGTTATAAATGATTTGTTCAAACAATTTCTCGAGACTCTCGTCACGAGATGCTAGTTCAATCCTTGTCTTTTTTAAGTCTTCCACAAGATCGAGTAAGGATGATTTTAAGTTTTCGAACTCGTGTTGAGGATAAGGTGAAATTTCAGATTCATTTTCGTAGGAGTACTCGTTTGTGCCGGTGTAATGATTTGCTAGCCTTTCGT